ATTAACCTTATATAAGGTCCAAAATGAAACTACTATCAACGGAATAATACAAAAACTTCAAGATACTATTGTCGGTGAATCATCTTATGTAGTTGAAGACAAAATGAACCAAATAACCCAGAAAGGAAAAAATGCCGAAAAGTTTACCTCAGAAATTGATCATTTACGAAAGCTACTTGAAGCCTCGTATATTGATGAGGGTCTATCACCTGAAAATGCTGAAAAATATAGCACCAAGGCAGCCATTACCGCAATTGAAAAAAATCGTGAGTCAATATTGGATACCCGAAGAGGACAAACACATCGCGATAATACTTACCGAGGTAACTATCGTGGTAGAGGCCGTGGTAACTACCAAAGCAACGGCTATTACCGAAACTACGGGAATTACCAAAACAATGGTTATAACCAAAATTATAATAACCAAAATTATAAATCCCACACCAATAATAACAATAGAGGTCGCGGATATTATAGAGGTAATAACCGTGGTGGAACCAATAACAACGGCAACAACAATAACACTAGAAGAAACTCAAATGCCCAAGTAAGAACTGTCGAGGCACAATCGGAAAACTAAATAATTCCCTTAAGAAAATTCAGCAACAAGAATTATAATTATACAACATAAATTTAAGTCTCAACATTTATATACAAATAAAAAAATATTATACAGAAACACCCTTAACCTTATTAATAAATTCAGGTGCCGATTTAAGTCTTTTAAAACTAATGCCTGAAAACTACAATGACACAGACAAGACAAAAACAATAACAATATCTGAAATAGGTGAAGATTCTCAAAAGGTTCAACATTTATGGAAATTTCAATTTAAACAATTATTTTCAATGAAAATCCCATCTTCCAAATTAACAAGAATCAGACTAGACTTAGAAAATTTTCAATTTACAGAATAAGCATCGAAGAAGTTTCACAAACAAGTTCGGATTTTCAAAAGCAACCAAAATCTTAAAAAAGTAGTACCTTGTATTTAACAATATCGAAATGTTCCATTAAGAGAGAAAAAAAACGTAGTAAGGGCAACAAAATAAAAATAAATAAAGAGAAATATAAAGAAGCTATACTGTCTACACTACATGATGATCCAATACAAGGCGGACATGCAAGCATAACTAAAACTCTACCGACATTAAACAGATAATTTTATTGGAAAAATATTTACAGTCATGTAAAAGATGTGCTAAATGCCAATAAGCCAAAACTACCAAACATACACCCAGAAAAAAATCCGTTCGAAACGTTCAAAAATCAAGACCAAACGTTGTCAAAAAGTGCGTAAGCCCGTTTGTTGACAGTTCATGAACGGTCGTTCGTAAAATGTGACCGAAACTTTAGCGTTGGGTTCCGAACGAATGGTGTCAGTTTAAGAACATTTCGGGGTTAACTTGAGAACATAAAAATATTAAAAAAAACGAGGTTTGTGTACATGCTAGACTTTCTGGACGCCTGGTAGAGATTTATTTAATTTCCCACCTTATGTTTTGTTATTGCTAGAAATCAATGTGTTTTGTTTATTTTGCTGAAGACAAAGAGTTTATTAATTAATAGAAGTACATATAAACATTAGAAATAATATTTTAATAAAACTTACAATTCACAACCGTCTTCTTGCGGACTCGAACCTGTGATACCATGTGTCGAAGGCGGACGCTCTAGCAGCTGGACCACCGAGCGAATTTTTCGATAGCGGAAAATCGGGACACTAGACCAGTGGTCGGCAGCGGCCTATCTAGTGAGCATAGGGAAGTGTTCTGCCCATCCTCTGCTCGCTCACGTATAACGTACATGTTCGTGTGACTTCGGCATGGGTCTTCGGGTCATTTTTTTCTCAACTTCGGCGCGCTTTTTTGTTGCTGCGGCAGAGGATCTCAGTGCAAAGCAGAGAAACGTCTCGCTTCACCACGCCGCGCGCAAACTTCGTGTTTGTTACACTCACACTAATGCAAGGCAAACTTGTGATGGTATGTGTGTGCCGACCACTGCACTAGACCGACATATTGTTGCAATAAACAAACATCAACCATGTGGCGAGAACATTTTTCGAAATTTGGAACCAAGTTGTTCGTCGGTAGAGATTGTTACCAACACCGTTCGATTTTCGTGAACATACGTTCGAAATGAGAGAACTAAAAATGGAGAACGGATTGTTCGCATTTTATGAAAAATGTTCTTGATTTTTTTCGTTCTTTTTTTTCTGGGTGTACAAAAACTGCCTTGACAATGACAGAAACGCCCATAAATGCATTTGATAGAGTGTAATAATCTTTAGTGTGGCTATACACAAGTAAAAAAAGCATACATTTTTCTGATTAGAAAAAAAAACAAAAGATTTTATTTAATAATAACACATTTTTCCAATTTTTTGTATTTTTAATCATACAACATTTTTATATACCGAAAAACCGTAATCATAAAAATATAAAATCCCTAGAAAATAACTTCATTTTATTACGTTATTTTCCAAAATGAGGGAGATGTAGTATTCATATATCGTTGTAGAGAGTACCCACTGTACCAACTTGAGCCAATAACGGACAAAAGCTGACCTGCTGGTCAGCCACCAAACTATGTGACCTTTTATTGGAGAATAAATTATTCAAATTCATATAGAGCATCTGGAGGAATTTACTACACCTCAACATGTGATTATTCTTTTTACATTGGAAGAATTCATAAAACACTTTACAATGGTTTTGAAATTTAACATTAAAATGTAAAACTATTGATCAATTTAAGCTAAGTGGTACATAAACAATATACCGAAAATAGTCAGATATACTAAATAATTATTAAACAAGAAAGGAAGTTTACTTCGGCAAGCCGAAGTTTGTATACCCTTGCAGTTATAATTATTAAATTTAAAAATACAAAAAAATGATATTCGCAATAGTATAAGATAATATGTCAAAAAACGCCGAATCTCTAATTTGTTTCATATTATTTTCCCACCCATTTTCCGATCGTTCCTATGGCAGCTATATGATATAGTCGTCCGATTTTGATGGAATTAAATTCGAAATTCAGAACTAATTAAAATATGTTATTTCCAAGCGTAAAGGTGATATTTAATATATCTGACTATTTGCCCACGCATTTTTAATACCATTGTTGATTGTTTTATGAATAGTTGCAATATTAGATGACTAATAGCATGTTCAGGACTCGCGAAATATGGCCAAATATCAAATAGATACTAATATTTTTTGATTTTTCGCCCTAGATGAACTTTTTATACCCTGGCAGAGGGTATTATGATTTCAGTCAAAAGTTTGCAACGCATTGAAGGAGACGTTTCCGACCTCATAAAGTATATATATTCTTGATCAACATCTTTAGACGAGTCGATCTAGCCATGTCCGTCTGTCCGTCCGTTTCTACGGAAACTAGTCTCTCAGTTTTAAAGCTATCGGGCTGCAGATAGTACATAAGTCGGCACCAGCCGGATCGGACAACTATATCTTATAGCTCCCATAGAAATAATCGGAAAAAACTTTAAAAAATTATATCTTTGGTGTTTTTTAACATATAACCTCAGCTGAGAATTAACATTTTTTAATTCGTTTTGGATTTCGAACTAAATTTAAACAAAATCGGACGACTATAGCATATAGCTGCCATAGGAACGGTCGGAAAATTGGTGGGAAAATAATATGAAACATATTATAGCTTCGGTGTTTTCTGACATACACCTATTCCTCGCTTTGCGTCGTTTCTTTTTGCGTTTTTTTTGAAGTTGCGTCGCTTCTTAATTAGAACTAATTTTCATTGTGCGTCGTTAGATTTTCGATGTTGCGTTGTTTTGGGATGAAGTCGTTAATATGTTTAAAAAAAAAAAGTTCAGCAAACATTGCACCAATTTTTTTAAAGAAAGCCGGCCTACGACAACAGACACTAAAGACTCGTCAGAGAGTGATTAATTCAAATTTTATTTCTCATAATTGAGTATGTAATTGAAGATTTTATTTTGTTTTAAATGAATTAGTTTCTTTTTGTTTTTATATGTATAATATGTAATAAAATGAAATGTTATTTTAGTTTTTTCTTAATGATCTCTTTGCTGAATTTTCTTTTTAAAAAGTAGTATTTTTGTAACCCTGGAACCCATCTTCGAACTTTACATGGTTTGCTATAGAAAATCCTAATTCACTTTGCGTCGTATTTTTTTGGAACGTATCCCCGACGCAAAGCGAGGGATAGGTGTATATACTATTGGGAAAATCATTTTTTGTATTTTTAAATTTAACAAATATAACTGCAAGGGTATACAAGCTTCGGCTTGCCGAAGTTAACTTCCTTTCTTGTTTTTTTCTTACTATTAACTTTATGCTGAAAAATAATATATTACATGTTTCTGCTTCCAAAAAAATTTGACAACTGGTCACCGCATTTTGAAAGTTCAACAGAAACTATTTACGTTCGTTACCTCAATTGTTGAGTTTTCTGTTGATCCCATCCCTGGATATGGTACGTGATGGTTACGTTTTTCTTCGTAAATGTGTAGACGTTTTTTCTTATACGGCTAGATCTCCAGCAATGCAGCTACTTCCTATAAAGCTGCAAAAACATAGATGGTAGCCCCATTGATAGTTTTCATAGTTTGAGGAGTAAACATCGATACTATAGCGACAATAGTGGTCAAAACCAATATAATAGGGTAATTCCTGCAGAACATTATCTAATGAAAATTGTGCTATTATGAAAAGTATTATCTATCAATAATTACAATTATAAACGTAATAAGTCTACTTCTTGTAGAGGATCGACCTACATCGACATCGACTTTAATTTATATTTCATTTTTCAACACATGAAATGTGCGTACCTTCGTTCTCCTTCGAAATCCAAGTGATGGGAGTTGTATGTAATACTATCGGGATATTCTGAGTAACATCGATGGAGGTCACCAGGGCACAAATTATCGCTTGTCTTCCAGCTCTACTTCCTACCAAAGCTACTGAAAGACGAAGTGAAGAAGTGACTTGCACAAATTTATGAAACAGCCCAGTTTGCTAAAAATAGCTAGCTTCGTGTGGAAATTTGAGTCTTGTTTTTGGCACACATTCCAAAAAACTTCGTGCAAAAAGACAAGTAAAGTACTTCAAAATGTCCGACGAAGAAAATATCGAGAGCCCCGTCTTCGAGAAGCTTCCAGTGATGGAAGCGACACCTGAGGACCCAACCGCCGCCAAGGAGAACGGAGCACCGGCCGCCGACAGCGGGGCACTCTCCGGTGCCGTCGATGGTGAAAAGGCGACCGCCGAGGCCGCTGACAAGGAGGAGGAGTCCGCCGCCGATGGTGAGGAGGCCAAGAAGAAGAGCATCGAAGCAGCTCCATCTGCTGTTGAGAACGCCGAGGAGGCCGCCGTCGGTGACTCAGCAGATGCTCCCGCCGTCGGGCCCGTGAAGCGGAAGTTGGACGAGGCCGCCGCTATAGCCGATGAGGCCGGTGCCACGCCGGAAAAAAAAGCGAAGATGGAGGAGGACTGCACAAAGGACGAGGTGTAGAACGGCGCCTAGAAAATAGCCTGCGGAGCAGCACACTGTAATATACTTAATTACGTCTACTAACACAACAAACACTCGCCAATCACACAAACACACAGCGACACGCACCGAACTGATCCAGTCACCCACCCACCTTAACAACGATCGATCCTGCAAACAGGAGCGCAGTCTTGTGGCGCACCGATCTGTTCTCTCTATCTCTACTAACCAACAAACAACCGACCAGGACACCATTGTTGGTGTCGAGAAACAACAACAATCTATTGTCATTAAAAAAAACCTACTTAAAAACTAAATTCCAAAGCATTATCACTTTGGGCGGCAGTCCACTTTGATACGAAGCGCACCAGGAAGAAGGGAAGGGACTACTATGTTTATATGGCCGAAGAATTGAAAATCTGCTGTGATACTAAGAAAACCCAGGTTTATTAGACTAGTTGTGTTCTTACTGAAAGAACGCGTCGAATGACTCCTCATTCGATGCTCCTTTCAAAAGTTATTCCGAAAACAAGATTTTGGGGAACTTTTCCAAATAAAGTTTATTTATTTACGAAACAACAGGGATAGTTAGCCATAGCTGGCTTAAAGTCAATGTTTTCAGTTTACTATTCTGTTCTTAATTAATAATTGTTTCGATTCTTAAATACTAAGTGTATAATTCAAGTACAATCAGGTGTCTTATAGTACTATCTTAATTATAAGAGGCTTAATATTAAGGAATTCGAGAACTTGAAGAAGGTTGGTAGTAGTGGGATTGAAAGGAAGTGTGGTAACGTTTTCATTTGGGATATGGACTCGGATGTTATCGAATGCAGCGCATACGTTAAGAATATGCTCTATTGACATTAAAGTGTGGTTACAGAACTTACAGGGGTTGTTTGTAGCCTGAAAATTATATATTCATGGGTGAGTCTGGTGTGGCCCTTTTCTTTTCTTGGTAGTTTGGTTATTTCTCTTGCTTCAGTGTAGTCGCTTATATTCAGAAGGCTACTGTTTATGGGTTGGTACCAACTGGAGGAGTATTGAAAAAGATTGAGAGAGATGTTATAAAAATGACTTTTAAAGAATCTGTTTGTATCAAACCAGTTAATATTATGTGAGGTGAACAGAGGTGCGATAGTTGCGCGTTTTGCGGCTTCATCAGCAAATTCGTTGCCGCTAATTCCAACATGGTTCGGTACCCACATGACTTTTATTTTGGGGTAAGCGGTATTTATTATACCACGAATTTTCGTAGGATGTTGCTTATCGATGTTTTTAAGCGAGTGAATTCGGAAAGAGAGTCCGAGCAGGTGCAGATCTTTCCTTTAATAGTAAGACCTATCACGACGACTTCCATTTATAATTTCTGCAGCATAAACTGACGTGTAATTGGGAAGAATGCCTTTTTTTTTTAGAACATTGTTCTTTGTGGATATGACATAGACAGTTGTGTCTTTGTTTTTGGTTGGTAAGATTTGCTTTAATGTCCAGAAATTCTTTTCTAAATATTGGCTCAAACGTGTGTCTATAGCATCTGATTGTAAGTGCCAAGACTAAGATTTTGGTAAGATTTTTATTGGGATGCAAGGGAGAAATAGGTTTGCATAGGACGTAGTATTTTTGTGTAGGACTGAGTTTCTGTATTTGTGGGTTTTCTTATTTTTATTTTTTCTTTTATTGAATTTAGAGGGGTGTCTGATGATTGGGCTACAGTGCTAGAACATTTTGGCTTGGAGGTGATGTGTTCTAATGTGGGTGGTAGGTTCTAAGTATAAGTTGATGGCGTGTGCTGGGCAAACGCCACCCAGTGCTAAATGGAGTGCATTATTGAAAAGGATTTGGATCGGTATGATTTGCGATTTTGGAGCTAAACCATATAATGGTGAGCCGTAGTCTATTTTTGGTCAGCGGCTGGCAGTTCATTTGTCGTTTGAGAGGCATTTTATTATATTTATTGAACTTGTTAGAGATTTTGCTAATTTATTCCTATGGGGCTTCCACTTGTATTTTGTGTAAATTGTTAAGCCTAACATTGTTAGCTCCGGTACTGTACTTGTTTACTACAAAACTTGTTTCTGTAGAAAGTTGGCAGATACAGTTGTGTTTTCTGCAAATGTGCATATGTTTGCATTTTGAGAGGGATAACGACTCTCCGGATAAATTGCAAAAGTTACTAATGTCCTGGAATAGACGATTTCGGTATATTGATGGGTTTTTCTGTACTTTAGGGTAAACTATAATATAGTCGTCTTTAAATGCGGTGAAGTTCTGATTCGTATGTTTGCAATGAGAAAAGAAATCACAGACAGTGGGGATCCCTGCGGGATTCTGTTTTGAAGTGGTTGAATTAAGGAATGACTATGGTTAACCTTTTCTCTAATTTTGCGACTTGTGCTTAACTGATTAGCCTTGGCTCACAGCCCCATTTAATCAATTGACTTTATATATTATACAAATTTTAAGGGCCAGGGGTATAATGGATTTTAGTATTGAGTGGAAGAAGTTTATTATTCTAATTATTACTGGTTTTGTCGTTTGCTGTATCATTGTATAAATGATCTTGCCGCTCTTAGGAGTATTACCTTTTAGACTGTTCAAAGTAGTCAATCTTGTTCCATGAAGTCAGCTGTTTGTTTCTGTGTTCGTCGTTACTTTGTCTGTATGCGTTGTGTTTTGATAACCAATGATTGGAAAAAGCTGTAGCAATATCTTCTGGGCTTGAGACTTTTGTATTCGTATTGTTGCTCCGAATACAATGTGTTGATCTGTGAATCATGTCTGGCTTTGAGTCAGTTCGAATCGAATTTATCGACTGAGCTGAGCATTAGTTCTTTTAAAAGAAAGACATTTCCCTATTGAACGCTCTCCAGGCTGGATTTTTGTAAGTAACGTTGTACTGACTTTTTGGGGGCTGGGATTGGGGAACACTATTATAGTGCTATTTAATATTATTTTGTTTATGGTGCTGTAATTTTACAATTGCACTGAATTTTGAGGCTCGGTGAGCCAAAGGCAAGGTCGATGTGGGTCGTTGTTTAATGTGATGTAGTTATTACTGTGAATGTAATCTCCGAGGATTCTACCCCTGCGATTGCTTTTGGGAGATCCCCAGAAAGTATTCCATCCATTAAAGTCTCCTGTCATCGGTGTAGGTGTTGTTAGGTAGGGGAATGTAGTTTCTGTCTTGGTAAATTATTGTGAAAGTTGTTTGTAGGCTAAAAAAATATTCAGCTTTTTTTTGGATTGTATTTCCTATCCAATGTGTTATAGATTTGAAATTTGACTGGGATGGGGAAATGTTGAAAGAGCATTACGTGGGTTTCCTAAAGTGAAATAATGTTGGGTTTGTGTAGTTTTAAAAGTATTTGTAGTTCGTTATAATCAATGTGGACGGCAGTTCACGTAGAGGACTACTATGTATAACCGCAGAAGGTAATAAGGTAATGTATCGAACCTAATCAGCATGGCTTTAAGAATGGTCGCTCTACGATGAAAACCTTGAATATTTTTACAAAGCACTGCATACACGCATTTTAATACCATTTACAGACTATCACTATTTTCACAGATTTTGCCAAAGCCTTTGACAAGGTTTGTCACTTTGCCTTAAAGGCGAAACTATCCAAGCTTGGCTTTCATTTCTATTCTTTAAATTGGATAGCACCGTAATTGGATAATCGGCGTTATCATGTTTAAGTAGGTGGTGCTATATCGCTTCTCTGCTTTGAATAAAATCGTTGATCTTGGAGTCTTATTTGATGACAAATTTATTTTTAAAACATGTACAATTTACATTAGATTAGATTGAGTTTTTGATTCAAAAATTCACTGCGGCTGAAGGACCGATGTGCTCGCCGATGTGCGACCTCTTGCTGCCTACTTTAAAAGTAAACTAATATGTCTTTAGTGGCCGGGCAGCAGGCCTCCAATGCGGGGACTCAGGCTCCTGTCTAATGTTCGAAGATTTCTTTTTCTAAATGTCAAAGTCTTCCGAGGAAGGGACGAGGTACTCTCTCTCCAGGGCGGCGCCCATCATGTCCCATTCGTCGTCGTCCTCGTCCTCCGGGTCTTTCTCGCTGTTCAGGTCGGAGCCAATCTCCTGGTCAGTAGGCAGATCTTCTCCTCGTCGAAACTTGGCTCTGGGCATCTCATCGTCATCATCCTCCTTCTCATTATTGTCATTAACCTCTGCGTTTAAGCCTATGTCAAATTGCATGACGTTCTGCGCTCCGATCATCACGTCCTCGCTGCGCGTCAACAAGTCATGGGCTCTATTGCTATTGCTATTATCTTCGCGCATTCTCTTAAGCACCTTCCTATCCATTGGTGGGTTTTCAAGGTTAACGGGTCCCTCGTCACTCGACGAGTCCGACTCGAAGAATGTGTCGTAGTCCTGGTTCATGGACTCGATGTCCGCGTTGGTGAGGCCCAGCAGTGGATTGAGCGTTTCGCGGAAGGTGCCGCTCTGCCCCTCCTGCTGCTTGCTGCTCGATGGTGAGATCTCTGGGCGCTCGCTGTAGTTGACCTCGTGCTCGGGACTGCGCACCTTGCTACCTTGGTCCAATGGAAAGAGCTTCTCCTCCACATGCTCCCAGCGCTCGGCGCAGGTCCACAGCCAGTTTGCATTGACCACCTTGATGGCGGATTCTTTCTTGGCGGCATATACCTTGTAGGTGCCCGCATCGAACGCCACCAGATGCGTGACCCCCTTGCCAATGTTCGGCTGCACATCTGCGCCCAGACTTTTAGCAATGAAGTATGCCTGCGATTGCTCCAGCTTCATCTCCGTGGGCACCAGGCCGGAAAACACCAAGCTCTTGCCACGCAGCACTTCACAGCGAATCTTCGGAACGATGACCTTTAGATCGGTTATCTCCGTGGTCTCGTCGTAGATGGCATAGAATCGCTTGTGGATGCTGCGCAATATGCCCTCCAGATAAAGCAGGTAATCGTCGGTGTCTTCAATCTCTATCTGCTTCTGCCCTTCGAGCGGCACTCGAAGGCTGGGCTTTGACGTGGTGGCCACATCCTCATTGCTTGTCGGGGTTTTCTCTTCCACCACCTCGGCTTTTGCGACCTCCTTGGAACGATCATCAATAACAGCTTTCTCAGCATCAGGTGAGCCAGATGAACTATCGTCTACGACCATGATTTCCTCTGAGACAGTCTTGCCTTTTAGTGTGTCACTCGGCGGCTTCTTGGGTGCCTCTGCGGCTATCGAGGAATTGGAAATCTCGGGATCCTTGGCGTCGCTCTCCAGTTCGAATACGTCGACTGATTCCTCATTCCGCTCATCATCCTTGCTTGTG